TCTTTTTCTCTGTGGCAGGTTCTGTGATTGGAGTGTGAATGGAGCGCACCTGATGCTCGTCATGGCTGTTATTTAAACCTGGTGCGAGAGTTCGTCAGGGCGGCTGCTCTTCTGTTGCTCGAGCAGTTTGCCAGAGCCGTGCTCCAATTGTGGCGTTATGTTTTGTTTTGCATCTATTCACTAGTGCTGACCACACTTCACTTGTGCATCCATTCACCTGCATTTCATACTGACTGATATTACTGACAGGCCAACTGACTTTTGTGATTGTTGATTTTGGTTATATTTCGTTGTAATAAATATTATGTTTTAAGTTATTCCGCCGTGTCGTCTCCCTTAACGTTACATCTTTGAGCCAGGTGTAACAATTGTGATTCTCTTTTATCACAGTACAGTAATACAATCTTTCATAGACATATTCACGTTTAAACTCACAACTTTGTAACTTTGTTTAACTACCACCACGAGTGCCATCTATTAATGCCTTGTTTATCTAAAAGTGCACTTTTCCTTTCTAGCCAAATAGCCAAAAAGCCATGTGTTGACTGTGAAACAGTAGACTTTAATTATATGCATTTATGGTGTAATTACTACATTTCCGTGCCAGTCCATGTTATTTTTTACTGTGAATAATGCACTGTCACTTTCAGCGCGTGCTGCACAGCAGAAATAGACTCTTTGCGGAAACGATCACAGCATGACTGCTGCAGATGCACCGCTCCTGGAGCACCATGCCGGACCGCAATCGCGTGCAGTGTGAACGCTCTGATCCGTTAACATGGGCGCGGAAAAAATACGCACCACAGACGGAGTGTGTGAACCTAGCGTTACGTTTGTATGTCTGCCCAGTCTGTTCTGTTCTCGTGCTCCATTTAGGCACGCTGCATTCTGATTGGTTCGGATAGCATACTGCGGGAAGTCGGGGGCGCGGAAAATCGTGCTATAAAGCGATTTAGAAATCGCGATTTTGATTAATCGCACAGCCCTACTAGTGTTGCCTCCTTCGTTCACTATTACACTACTGCATATATTGCATTTGACACTGGTGTCGCTTAGTTTTGTAACGTGAGCCCACATTTTCGAAATTTTCTCTCTTGCCGTGATGACTGATTGCACGCAAACACACCACACGTGCATGGATATCACACGCATGTCGAGTTAACGTCGGCCACATCATTCAGTGAAGGGAAATGACAAGCAGCAGCTTCTATTTCGTCGTTAACATTGAAGTATACAGAGATAAAACAACGCAAGTATAGATAACAGTATTGTTTGTCCTGAAGCTTATCGGTATTCCGGTATCAACCCAATTACCTACCGGTCTAAAAAAAATACCGGTTTTTGGTACCCAGGAGAGACTTTTTTTTTATTTTTTTTTTTTATGATTTTTAACAGATATATATATATATATATAAACAGTATTTTACAGTTAGCTCAAACATTTATCTATTATTACATTTAGAAAACAATAAAAAAAATTTGACCAAATCTAAGTTTCAAAGAATCGAAAAATAGGAATACATTAAAACCACACTTACAGACATAATCCTTGACAGCCCTCTCGAACAGCTCGTAGACTTTCTCACGGCCTGATTCATCTTCTGTTAGGCGAATTTCATCCTTCAGCCAATCCAGCCAAATCTCTGTTCCACCAAACAAATCAGTCAAACAGAGTCACACAATACCCATATCACCACATCATAAGATCCCAGCACTCCTTTAGATATTAAACACATTAGCGCAGTCCAGCGCTATATAAAGAACTCTCATTATTATGTCCAGTAAATTCATTAGAATCATTAGGACAATTCCAATTTTCCTGCAGGGCTGGTGCAAAAAGTTCTGTTCCAGGAGATCAACTTTCCTGGAGACTGAGGAGTACACAAACCTCAAGAACTAATCAAAAAATAGCCTGGACTCTAACAGCACTTAATGTTCTTTTACATTATATAATATACACCACTCTCTGTTGCAATATCAGAGAAAATCCGGCTAACGCACAAAGAGAGAAAAAAACAGAAGAGCGAAACAAAATAAGGATGTCCCACCTTCAGTGAGAGGAAAGAGTTCGCTCATCTTCTGCCTGGCCTTGCGTAGTCTGTGAAGCTTCCCTTCTTGCCGCAGGAGTTTGATTAGGTCAACATGGCAGTTGTAGTCAAACACGTTGATTGACAACTGTAGAAATGCACATGGGGTGTTGACATTAGCTTTATCATATTAATTTTGTATTCACTAAATATTACAACCGAATTGATTCACCAAGTATCTCGTAGACGTAGAAGTTGACCTACTAAAGTTTAACATCAGGAAGCATGTTAAACTCATTCAGCATCAATACATCAATGTGAGATAACACTGTTTGAAGAAAAATCTAAATCATGAACCATACAAGCAAAATATCACATGATTGCAATGCTTCTGGAAGTATGCAAGGTATGAACTAAATCCTTCTAAACTACATTACTCCAATTCAAATTCTTTCCAAACATTTAACAACCTATACGTTTGGATGGGATGACGGCTTCATCTGGACAAGGCGGCATTCACTGTAGTCAAGCATGCAAGAGTGGGAGACACTGGAACAGCGCCACTTCCCACAGAGAGAGAAACTGTGTGGGACCTAAAAACATTGGAATAAATCAGATAATGCTTACCAATGTGACTTCTTGTAATTGATCCACTGCATTTTGCAGGGAACAAGTGAAACTTTAATCTCTGCTTTCTTATGTATTGCAGCTGAACACAAACTGGCTGATGGTTTAGAGATCGGACACACTTAAGTTGATATTACAGCTGCTGCGTGACTGTGGTTGTACAGAAAACATCAGTGACTTTAGTTGTCAGGAATGCTCTGAACTGAACAATACAACGCATGCAAAGCCACAGAGACTGAACCAAACCTGTGCATTAATCATGGAGAATCACAGATAAAGCTGTCACTCTTGCTGGAATAAAACTATATCTTAAACCAGTCTAAGCTGTTTTTTTAATCTACTAGCTTGGTCAGTTCCATTATTGCGGCATAAAAAAGACCCTCTTAAAAGTCCAAGTTTTAAATGCTGGCTGGGAAACTAGCTGAAGACTGGCTTATCCAACTTTTATATCTAGGGCTGCACGATTATGACAAAAATCATAATTGTCGATTATTCCCTTGAAATTGTAATTGCGATTATCACAATTTACATTGAATGATGTTTATACCATTGTTTGATGCACCTGCATGTAGTATTTTTATATGAAAATAAACAAGCTGAAAACACTAACTGAAAAACCTTTAGTGCTTTTCTATAGTATTAAGCCTCAAATGTCAACTATATGTTGGATTGGTTCGTTAAAAATATGAATGGTATTATAATGTTATACTAAAACTAAAACAATGGAAAACCCCTTAAGATAACATGTAGAAAGAAAAAAAACATATCTTAAGCGTGCAGAATAACATAAGTGGACTTTGAACGATTAATTGCCGCTTTGAACGATTATGTAATTGTGGCATCCACAATTGTAATTGCGATTAGAAATTTGATTAATTGTGCAGCCCTAATATCTACCTTAATGCATTTGCAAGATGCTTTCATCCACAGGGACTTACACTGCATTCAGGGCATACATTTGATCAGTTCATGCTTTCTCTGAAAATCTAACCCATAACCTTGGTTTTCCGAGCTAGACCATCTTAAAAGGATATTTCACCCAAAAATGAAAATTGTGTTATCATTTACTGATCCTGACATTGTTACGAACCTATGTGAGTTTCTTTCTTCTTTTGAACAAAGAAGATATTTTTTAGAATGCTGGTAACAGTAGCCATTGACTTCCATAGTAATTTTCAATACTATGGACATCAATGGCTACCGATAACTGGTTAACAGAAGAAAGAAACTCATACAGGTTTGAAACAATTTGAGGGTGAGCAAATGATGACGAAAATTTTCATTTTGGGTGAACTATCCCTTTAAATCAGCTATGGCTGGAATAAACATGTTTTTTTTTTAGCTGGAATAGATAAATCATTGCATTCTTTCAAGTAAAAAAAACTTATTTATGCTCTCATAATCTTAGTACAAAAAGAAACATTAAGTACTACAAATTTATAAAGTCCCTTTATTGTGCTGCACTGGCGTTTTCATCTACTACTGTATACAGTTTGTCAAAACAAACAGCATCCACTTCAAAACAGAAGGCCTAAGAGCCCAGAGCAATGTAAGGAGTCAGAACACTGCATGTGGTCTGTAACCTAAAACTAATGTGTTATAAACATGATTCAAATCTAAAGACATCGCAGGAACTAACAGGTGTGTCTTTGTCCTCATTTGTAAGTCGCGTTGGATAAAAGTGTCTGCTAAATGACTAAATGTAAATGTCTTGACAACTCTGTTGCTTATAGCTTCTCCACATGAGCTCCATCAAATCACACCAATCAAAACACACCAACACTAAACTTTATTATTGTATAATTCACATACATTTTGACATGCAAGGTCACAAAGCTCCATAAACACAGCTGGGACTGTATTTAGGTGGAAAACATAAGTAAAAAGGCGAAATGAAAGGGCAGTTTGAGGGTTAAATATCAAGACGCAAGTCTTCGCTAGCTCGCTTAAGCCTTTGCTAGCCACATTCCCCAGGAACGGAGTTACGCATTTCTACATTTTATTACCCCTGACCATGTATTTGGTAAGTTAAGCATGTAGGACCTCTCTAATAAACGGGCTCTGCCAAATACATGAAGAGAAATTCCCCTGCAGAGTCGTTCGTGCGGTGTTTTGAGAGCTGCGTATGTGAGCACAGTCGTTAGCTTCATTCATTCCTCTCACCTGTTCCTCCAGCCTCTGGATCTCCGCTTCATTCTCCCGCTCGTCCTCAGACGTATCCTCTTCATCTTCCTCGTCGGACTGCTCGACTCCCATTCCTTCTTCTTCCTCTTCCGACTCCATCTCTCGCTCCATGCCCTCAGCCTCCTCTTCGATATCTGGCAACAACGTCTGTTCTTCGTTACCCGTCGCCGCCATGTTGACTACTACTATCTGCCTGGAAACAGGGGCAGGGCTCGCGCACACACAACACAAGAGCTCGCGCGAAAAACAGGGGCTCGTGCAAACCAGAAGGCGGGGCTCGCAGAAAAAACAGGGGGCGCGTCCCAACTACAGGCATTGGCCGCTGTTGGCAGTTTTGCTTGTGGTCTCTTCCAGCGAAATTTTCTGTGGTGGTTTAGAAAACTCTCATTCTTATGGCAAGCCGTTTTGACTTTTATTCATTCTCAGGATATGAATTCTTGATATCAACAATTCAATTTTTACTAGTTAAAATGTTCATTCTTGATATCAGGAATTAGATTTCTACTAGTAACAAATGCTATTTTTGATATCAGCAACTACATTTCCACTAGTAACAATGTTAATTCTTGATATCAACAATTACTTTTCAACTAGTAAAAACTATAATTCTTGATATCTGTAATTGTATTTTCACTAGTTAAATGTCACCATAGGCTGCCATTCAAAATCAATTGTTGATATCAAGAACTGATTTCTTACTAGTTGAAATTCCAATTTCACATATCAGAAATACAATTCTTACTAGTAAAAACCTTTATTTTTGATATCAGTAATCACGTGGTTACTAGTACAGACGTCTATTCTTGATATCAACAATTTAATTGTCACTAGTGACAATGTTCATTTCTGATATCTGAAAATGTATTTCTGATATCAACAATTGGAAGGGTAATTTCTGATATCAAAAATAGCATTTGTTACTAGTAGAAATCTCATTCCTGATATCAAGAATTAACATTTTAACTAGTAAAAATTGAATTGTTGATATCAAGAATTCATATCCTGAGAATGAATAAAAGTCAAAACGGCTTGCCATACATTCTTAGTCTGTCAATATCTGCATTAAAATGTTCACGCTTTTGTCCAAAGCAGCAGTAATAACTTAACAGTGGCATTCCGAAAAATACACATATAATATACATTATATATGTAAAATATTTAATATTATTCAGTGTTGAAGAGTAACTAGTTACATGTAACAGAATTACGTAATTTAATTACAAAATAAATTAAATCTAATACAGTTACTGAGAAAAAATGTGCAATTAAATTACAGTTACTTATGAAAATGTTAACGATTACAAAGGGGATTACATGTGAATATTGGCACACACATACAGATATGATTGATTTCTTTCCCAAATTGCATTGACTGCTTTAAAATATGAGAAACCAATGTTTCAGGAGTTTAGGACACATAATAGGACACATGCTTATTTGATAACTGTTTTATTTCCTATTTGGGTTTGTGTACATGCTTTGTTTTTTAAGACTCACTGTTTTTTCCAAAGGATTGTTAGAGGCCGGTGTTTCCTGTCATAACTAGGCAAAGATCTGATTTAAAACACAGTATCATAGCTATTAAACTATTTCTTAAATCTTCATTTAACCTCAGAACGATCTCAAAGTAAAAAGAGGTGCTAAAGTCTGGGATGAGGGGGCGGAGTAAAAAGTGACAATTTTTATATTATATTATATTATTTTTATATTAATTTAAACAATTATTATCAAACTAATGATATTCATTTAGTAACATAAATATATATTAGTGTAGGCTGTATCTTTAGAGTTTTATAATTCGTTATCTTCTTGTCGATCCACCAGTTCACATTTAAAACTGCGTGTTTTCTGTGTAAAAATAAGGGTCATTTCTGGCTTTGCTCTAAACAAAGAGCAGAAGGGTTTATTGAAAAATGCAAATTCATGCTCTGCCAGCAGGTGGCGCTTTTCGCCAGGAATATAGCCGTTTCCCCGGTAACCGCAGTAAACAAAGCAGTGCAGCAGCTGACTTTGAAACTTGCAGCGCTCATTTTTATTAAACCATAGCCTTTTGAAGTGTAAGCTATATCTCAATTTACATGTATATTTAGTTGTTTTCACTGTAGCACCACCCGAGTCTTCCTACCAGTGAGCATTGTTTCCTTCCCGCAGTACTACCTGTGCAGATAGCGGCACTGGGCTGTAGGTTGCCAAGTTGAGGGGATAAATCGGTTGAAATTTGTATGCGTCGATCGTGTGAGAAAGATGAGTTTCATACAAGATCTGGCAACAACATTGGAATTTGTTGTCGTGATTATTCATATAATGAGGGGGACCATACAAATTACGGGAGTTTTACCGGAAGCGAATGTAGCAAACATAAAATACGCCCAGTGGGATTTTTTTATAGAAAGATTAAAAATACGGGAGAAATACGGGAAAATATTTAAACGGGATGATTGCGGGATAGAATGGTAAAATACGGGAGAATCCCGGGAAAAACGGGAGGGTTGACAGGTATGATTACTACTGTAAATATGCTGAATATTATTCTACAGTTAAGTGTACGGTGAAATCGCTCCCCCTGCTGGTTTAGTTCCATGAGATGCATGTAAACAACAATAATATCAAATACAGAACATACGCATATTTTATACAAACATGGAATTTATATGATTTATAATAAATTATAACTAAGCAATGCAGTGAAAGCATTGCCCTGCTGGCTGAGTGCAGTTAATTCACTGCCACTGGGGTTTAATGGTGATTAATTAAACATCACTCATGTATATTATCTTTGTATAATGATGTGTGCACTGAAAGCGTTGAGTAGCCCCGACTGCCGGAGTGCATGTTTGTGAGCAAAACAGCATCATATATAGATTGTAGAGACGCACATCAAGTTTATAATAAAAATGTTCACTGCCACTATCGGGTGAGGGTGTAATATTCTGTGCTAAATATTAATTATAAGGCAGAAAATATCTATACCATGTAATATGAATGTCATATCAATAATATTTATAGTATATTTATAGTGCAGTGAAAGCGTTCCCCCTGCCGGTTGAGCCCTGTTTATGCAGTAGTAGTCAGGCATCATGGCGTTAGCGGCGGTAGCCAAGCGCTGTGCATCCTCTGCAGTTTTCAGTAGATCTTTGTCATTACCAGAGCTCAGATCAGCCTGCTCTTATCATAAAAAGGTACGTGTCTCTCTTTTCTTATTGCCTACCATGTCACGAGAATTGATCCATGATTCATTAAGTTGTAGTTATACACAACTTTCAGCGTGGTTGCTAGCTAAGCTAGCATTAGATAACTGCGCATGTAAACAAAACAGGCAGAACATTGTACATGTCCAACAGTATTTTCCGCAGTCTGTTTGAGTATAAAACACATGTCACCGGCTGATCTATGAGATAAAATTACTTTAATCCATATTTACAGTTAATTTCATAATCCACTTGTGTAACTGTCCTTCAAGCTCATCAGTGATGTCTTTCAGTATCTTAACTGTGCTACAGGTGAATAAACCTATATTTTTGTATGCTGACAGTTTTGTAAGTACACATAAAAATTTAAATAAGTGATTTACTTATAAAGATTAATTATCTGTAATGTTATTAAGGTCACTATCATTATCTATCAAGGGCACATTTCCTTTTGGTGCTCTTTTGCATACTTTGATGAATGTATTTGAAGTTAAATAGGATCAGGATGTGGTTATTTGTTTTCATATGTCTTACATGTCATAGTTTTTTTTCTCTCAAGGTGGTGGACCACTATGAAAACCCCAGAAATGTTGGTTCCCTGGACAAAAATGCCAAAAATGTAGGCACTGGTTTGGTAGGCGCACCTGCATGCGGGGATGTTATGAAACTACAGGTAAGACATTTTTGCTTTTAAATTCCAATATGTATATGTGTGTGTATATATATATATATATATATATATATACATGTACGCACACACTCTATTTACATTCTATACCATGTAATATGAATGTCATATCAATAATATTTATAGTATATTTATAGTGCAGTGAAAGCGTTCCCCCTGCCGGTTGAGCCCTGTTTATGCAGTAGTAGTCAGGCATCAACATGGCGTTAGCGGCGGTAGCCAAGCGCTGTGCATCCTCTGCAGTTTTCAGTAGATCTTTGTCATTACCAGAGCTCAGATCAGCCTGCTCTTATCATAAAAAGGTTCGTGTCTCTTTTTTCTTATTGCCTACCATGTCACGAGAATTGATCCATGATTCATTAAGTTGTAGTTATACACAACTTTCAGCGTGGTTGCTAGCTAAGCTAGCATTAGATAACTGCGCATGTAAACAAAACGGGCAGAACATTGTACATGTCCAACAGTATTTTCCGCAGTCTGTTTGAGTATAAAACACATGTCATCGGCTGATCTATGAGATAAAATTACTTTAATCCATATTTACTGTTAATTTCATAATCCACTTGTGTAACTGTCCTTCAAGCTCATCAGTGATGTCTTTCAGTATCTTAACTGTGCCACAGGTGAATAAACCTATATTTTTGTATGCTGACAGTTTTGTAAGTACACATAAAAATGTAAATAAGCGATTTACTTATAAAGAGTAATTGTCTGTAATGTTATTAAGGTCACTATCATTATCTATCAAGGGCACATTTACTTTTGGTGCTCTTTTGCATACTTTGATGAATGTATTTGAAGTTAAATAGGATCAGGATGTGGTTATTTGTTTTCATATGTCTTACATGTCATAGTTTTTTTTCTCTCAAGGTGGTGGACCACTATGAAAACCCCAGAAATGTTGGTTCCCTGGACAAAAATGCCAAAAATGTAGGCACTGGTTTGGTAGGCGCACCTGCATGCGGGGATGTTATGAAACTACAGGTAAGACATTTTTGCTTTTAAATTCCAGTATGTATATGTGCACACACTCTATTTACAACAGTAACTTTGTTTTGTTGTCAACCTGTCTGACAGATTCAGGTGGATGAAAATGGCAAGATAGTAGACGCCAGATTTAAAACATTTGGCTGTGGCTCAGCCATTGCTTCCAGCTCACTGGCCACAGAGTGGGTGAAGGGAAAATCTGTGAGTCAGTGTGATTCAGACCATTGTATGAATTCACAGTGTGATCAGATTATCTTAATGTGCTCCATATTTGTTCTCAAGTGTTCCTACCAACATTTCAATGTTCTCTTTTCCATGTACAGATTGACGAAGCCCTGAAAATAAAAAATACTGAGATTGCCAAAGAACTTTGTCTACCACCAGTCAAACTTCAATCGCCGGATCGGCTTTCACCGTGGACAAAGTGGAGTCCAGCCCGGGGTCGTCACATGTGGTTGCTGCTCCTTCGTTGAATCCGCCGGGCGCGCCGTTCTCGACCCCGCCGCCTCTGCTCACTCTAGCCCGGCCTCAGCTCACTTTAAGCCGCGTTAAGCTTCCAAAAGAGGACACGACTTACCATGTGATATTTCAGTTTTTCTTTTTTAATAAATCTGCAAAAATGTCAGCAATTCTGTGTTTTTCTGTCAATATGGGGTGCTGTGTGTACATTAATGAGGAAAAAAAATTAACTTAAATGATTTTAGCAAATGGTTGCAATATAACAAAGACTGAAAAATTTAAGGGGGTCTGAATACTTTCCGTACCCACTGTATATGTTTTATTTTTTATTTTTTCTCATTGATAAGAAATGTTTCTTGAGCACCAAATCTGCATATTACAATGATTTATGAAAGAATCATGTAGCACTGAAGACTGGAGTAACGGCTGCTGAAATTGTGAAATAGTTGTATGTTTTACGGCATATTTGATCAAATAAATGTAGCCTTGGTGCTTTTTTTTTTAATTCACACAATGGAAAGTATGTAATTTCTGTGCAAAAGCTCAATTCTTTCTGGGCAAATGTGGGAAGCATCTATTTTATGTACATTTGCAATGATAACATGTTATATTCAGACTGTGATAATCTCCAACATCACTCTGTAAACGATATAGCGCTAACTGAACCACAGACAGGAATAGACCATATTCTGCCAAGCCTAACTAATGTCTCAACATTGATTAAATATAACATTACAACATCTTCACACATGCAAAAAAACAACAATTACAATATAAATGTTCCACTGATTAAATAAAAGACGTGGAATGTTCATTATTGTACAACAAAGCATAAAATGGCACTTCAAAGCCAGGCATCAGATTACTGAATTTATTTCAGATTACTGAAACTCCCTAGAAAACTGATAAACCTGCACCAGATATACTGTGGATTTTTTTTGACAGTGCAAACCATTCAAGAGCTGGGTTTGTGTCAAACCTGAGCACTGACTTCATGTTTGAGAGTAAAAAACTCTGTGATCATCAATAAAGCGCTGGTTCCCAGTGCATACAGAAAGATTTCAACTTCTAAAGAGGGCCTTCGGTATCAGGTAGAAAACTGTTTAGAGTGAGATTATCTCCATCAGGATCTCCATCCTCAGTATTCGGGATCAATGCTCCATTACTTTTGGGATGTCGTCTTGGCTTTGGAACAGGGTGATCGGTATCATTCATCAGGGCAGATATGCAGACCATCTCAGTCTCCTGGAGAAGCTGCGCCTTGTGCCTGTATCTGTATCCCGAGAGTTTCGTAGCCAAGCAGATGGTGCTAATGATAAAGATGGTTGTCAATGCTGCCATCGAGGCGATTGCGATGAGGCAACGGCTCACAAGTCCGTCCCCTTGAGAAGAGGCAGTGGAACATGAGTGGGACATTGCTGTGGTTGATTTTTTGGTGGCTGTTGAGGTAACTTCAGTAGTATGTCCTTTTGCATCTGTGGACATTCTTCTTGTCGCTGCTGTCATGTGCTTCTCCGTTACCTTAAATGTGGGGGAAGAACTTCCTGCATGTGAAATGTGTCCAGTACTAATATTTATTTTGGGAAGTTGGGTGTGAAAAGTACTCTCATTATCTGTTGGCCGGTGAACTGTCAGGTTCTCGGTTCCTGCAGAGTAGTTTTGTTGGGTGTGGTTAAAATCTGGGGTATGAAGGTAATCTGTAGATGCTGAGACCTTTAAATCAGGTTTTAAAGTTTTCACCTCAACTGTCTGTAACGTACTCGAAGCAATCAAAGTTTCCACAGTGGTGCTTCTTGCATTCTCAACTTCAGCTACGGTTGCTGTACTCTGTGTGTCTTTGGTGTTTATCGATGTCACATTGTGACTAATTTCCCTTTTTATCCTAAGAGGTCTTGACTTGACTGAACTGCTCAAAGTCAGCAGGAAAACAAGAACTGGTAAACACCCAAATCCGTTAGTCACCATTGCCATCTGCACAAAAAGGACAGAGAATGTTGCAATAATGCTTTAGATGCACAAAACATTTTCACACGCAAAAAAAAGCACATTTATAAACTGTATGGTTATTCCTCTCTAGTATATTCAGTGGAGAGGAACTTTAAGACAATGAGAACGGAGCGTAAACTGAGGTCTAGCAACAGTGAAAGAACAAAACACCTAATTGTTACATACTAACGGCTTGCTCGTACTTTAACAAGCTCATGTGGCAGGTTGAGTTTGTGAATATAGCATGTGGTTACACCATTTACTTCCTTTTAGCTGACAAATTGTCGTTTTACAGTTATCAACACTTTACTACTCAATTTAAAATATATTACGATTACAGTCACGGTAACACTTCATGAACTCTTTAACAATTTACATGCAGATTCAGTCATGTACACTCTACAGTTGATGAATTTCAAAAATCACCACACCACATAAACCTAAATTCTGATTTAAGACACAAAATTTGTTAAGACAAAATTCAAATAAAAAACAAAACTACGTACCATCCGTTTCTACTGTTGAATGGGTGTTGATCTGGAGTTCAATGGAATGTTAGGCCCCCTCACACGCTCACAATGCTGTCTCAAAACCTACTCGCTGCAAAAATACAGGAAGTCAAACCTCATGAAGCGTCAGGCTAAAGCTGAGGTTCTCAAACTCTGACGCAAACACAAATGAGCAAGACGAGACTTAAATATCACATCTTAGTTCCCTAAAACACTAAGTTAGAGCTTGTAACCAACTACACTTCCACAAAGAGAGGTTTACTAATTTGAGGAAAAAAAAGAGACAAAGGCCAAAAATTCTGTTTATTTTTTTATTTTCTGGTAATCAGTAAGACTCTTTATACTTGAAGCAGATGAATGAACAAAAATGGAACAGTCATGCGCAAAATTGAATTTCTAGTTCTCCTTCCTTTCAATTCTAATTTCATGTTATCATTGGAAACATTAAAGGCTCACAGTGTGCATATTGAGGGAAAATGGGAAATTTATTTAAAATCATCTGAAAATCCAAATGATGGACAAACACCTTCCTACAGCCAAAGAAAACATGTAAAGGAAAACTAAAAAAGAAAAAAAGAAAACATATTTACAAAGCATCTAAGCAAATCACTTACATCCAGCCTTCTTCCTGCATTATCATTTCAACCTTCATAAATCCCTTTTCACTTCAATCATTCACTCATTTGAAACCACACACTCGAGGCTGCATCACAGATGCCTCCTGAGGCCACTTAAACACTCAATATGGAACCATCACACCTCCTGAAGTTGATCCAGCTTGGCACATCTGTGCCCATAAACACGGCCCCTACATTTTCAAACCCTTCACTTTAAAACTTCACCAAAAACGAGAGAAAGCAAAAGAGTGAGAATGACATCAGAGGTATTGAGTTGTTGCTGTTGATGCAAACAGATCTGTTTCAAATGAAATTCTTGTAGGTCAGGTGATGGTTCTGAGGTGAGAAGATGGTGGCTATTTTAGGCTAAAAGGCATGCAGAGGAGGGAAGGTGCTTTTCAGAACCTATGAAAGAGGCACTAGGCAGTGATGCAAACAGAAATGAGATATGTAGAAGCATCAAAATGAAAACCACAAGAGAACGCTCTGACGAAGGATGTAGCCAAAGCAATCTGAACAACAGAATCACAGTTTCCTCTCTTATTGGCATGACCAGTACATAACCAAACAAAAAAAGCCACTTGCCATCAACTCAAACATTTGTGAAATCATCATCTAGACGTGAGCTGCCTCTTGAGAGAATTGGTTCTGCTTGGTTAGGAGAGCAAGGTAGACTTAGAACTTAGGAAAAGGAAGTTAATCATGACTCACTATTTTGCTGGTAGTCACAGTCTAAAATGCACAGCAAAAGTATGTACAGACAAAGCTGTTGAGACTCAAACAAACTTGGTTTCTGAGACAGTGTGGACGGCACAACTCAAGATGAGGTTTGTAGGAATTCATGAGAAAGCAAAGCAAACCTAACAGTGTTCCTTAGACCTGGATGACATCCGAATAGAACAAAGTCAGGGTCAACGCTATCAAGCCGGTAAAGCAATCTATGGGCGTTATCTTGTTCTGAGTTTATATCATCATGTTTTGGGACGTGAAACTAGAAGCTGAGACTTTCTAGAGTTTACCAAATGAGACCCACACAGTTTCTGGCTTCACTCAGGCTTCAAACAGAATAAGACTGAAGAAAAGTTCAGATACGTGGAAACAAGAAAGGGGAAAAACTGACTCAATTTGCTTGTATTACCATTACGATGAGTAACTTTTGCCAACAAGAAAGTGTTTGGAGTTGTGAGCAGAGTACACATTGGTTGTGTTCATGGCAACCACCAGAACCACAATTATTTTTATTATTTTGCTAATTAATATCTTAATACTTTTACATTGGTACCTGTTTAACAAAAAGTCCTTTAGTGGAATATTTTAGTGCACCTGTATTGTTTTCCAGTACTGGTTTGTAAACTTTTTCAACTCCACGTTTGCCAGGTTTTTCATTTTATATTTTATTCTCTAGAAAGACACGTATAACAATGATGAATGGTTCCAATGATTTCCCCTCCTTGCATTACTAGCATATTGCTTTGTCCCTTATAAGAAATGAAAATCTAATCAAATACTGTCAGGGAGGTGCATAACTCCTCTATAAATTTGGCAACTCAGAGGGCGAGAGGGGAACTGCAATACTGATGGCTACTTCAAACTTTGAGCTCATCAAGTTCATGTAACTGCTTCAGGATGCAATCTTTTGGTTCACAATTTTAATAAGAAAAACAAAATTCTTAAGACCTTTCAAGAACACCAAATAAAACACAGCTGTTGCAGAAAGATTTGGAGTGAGATTGAGTAAAAAGCTAAACGGGTCAAATTTTGAGAAACTGAAGGAGTTTCTTGCTTTCAAAATGGCCATGAGGTATAAACAGGTTTTAGGGATTGCAAAAAAAAAGGAAGAAGAAAAAAAACATTTTGGAATGTTGGTTGGAGTCTTTTCAAGGCAGGTTTCAGACGGAACGCTGTCATGGTGATTGGCAGTGACGGGTCCCGCCCACCTGGCCAATGGGATATCCTGAATAGAAGGGGAAGGAATTTCAGGGTCCTTTTAGATGTCCATTTTAGACAACTGCTGCTCAAGTTTGGCAATTCTTTTTTCCTGACTGCTGACCAGCTCTCTGAGCGATTTCATTTCTTTCAAAACTTCATCCAGCTTAGCTTCACTTTTCTGTTCAGGAAGAAAAAGTAGGAGACAAAAGTTAAGGACAATGAGTGCCAATAAATGTGAGTTATGAGTTATTAGTCATAACTGATATTAAAAGTTTCTTTTTTTTTTTTCAAATTATTTTTGGAGACCAGAATTGGAAAACTAAGTGTGTGTGTGTGTGTTACACATATATACATATACACATACATACATACATATATACATATATACATATACATATATACACACACACATACATACACATTTATTATAAAAAATATATCATAAAATATCACTTACAACAAATCAACAGCCCATATGCCAGTGTTATATTAGTATTATTTATTTACTATTATAGTATATATTAATATTTTAAATAAGTTTTTATATATATTTTCAAGTTGTCATTTTAGTTTTTGTAATTCTGGTTGTTTTTTTATATTTCTATTCAGCTCTCATTTATTTTTATTTCAGCTTTAATTTTAGTACTTCAGCTTATTTTTTTTAAATTAGTTGCCAAGGCAACATGTCCATTTTTTCCCCTTTTCCCTTTACCTATTTCAACTATTTAAAAATTAATGAAAATCTTTTTTTAATAGTGCACTAATGCAACACTGCATATGCAAATAATTAAGATGCAAACTATAGCATAATCTTTAGGTGTGATAAATAGCAGCTAACATAGGCGTGTCTGAAGGGCAGTGTGATTGCAGCCCTGAGCGGGGAGAGCTGGGTAAAGAGGGCGGGACACACATGTGCTGTTGCTGTCATGTGGTTAAGCAGGCATGTGGTTGGGGGTTGGGTCTGCTGTAGAACATCCTTAAAACTATAAAAACACTATATATGAGCCAAAAAGAGAAGCTGGCCTTGAACAATACAATCATTTAGCTGCATGTAGGTCACACTGAACCACGGTGCAATTTACAAGTAAAGAAATTGTGTTTATATATTTTTCAGGGAACTTAGAGAATGGAGATTTGAGAGGAAAAAGTGCATAGGAAAGCAAACTGTAATGCTGTAGGATGATAATCCAGACAGCAAAAATAGATAAGTAAACAAGTCCCACTCACAATAGATGGTGTGGAGGTGGCAGTCTTGATGGCAGGGGTGGTATTCTCTGTATTCTTGCTTAGCTTGTTGTCTAGGATGTTCTTCTTGACCACTTTGAGATCACGGTTCTTGCCTGGGATGTATCCATGTTTCAGGGATATCAGGATAGGGTCTCCATTCTTCCCTTCAAACCATTCCTCGGCCTCCAGGGGGGCCTCCGGACCCGCAGTGTCAGGGTAAAGGTCATCCTGGAACAAGTCCGACTGATGGAAGGAAGAGTGTTATAAGTTGTTAAGATATGCAGTAGATGAATCATGCAAATCATTCAATCAATCATGCAAAAGATGCAGAGTTCAGTTACTTGGTGTCAAAGCTGTTTTCTCAATTTATTTCTGTTGATCATTCTTTTGTGGCTAGTGAAAATGTTGTCCACGTATTTTTATATATTTTCTGGAAACAATATTTATATTTTTCAACAAATACACTACCATTCAAAAGCTTGTTGTCAGTAAGGTTTTAGAATTTTTTTTTAATATGGCTAGTGAAAATTTTGGAGCACTGACCCTTAACTATCTTATACTGGTCCTGGGTCCGAGGGTTATTCTTATTATTGAACCCTTATAGGGACACAAACATAAATAAAGAAGGTGACGTGAACAAGGCTTTCTATTTTGGACACTGATTCCTCCAGCATTGTTGCCTAGGTGCCGTGGTAAACAGTTAACGGCAGTACTCACGGTCGTACAAGTTGGTTTGAACATACTGCGGTTTAAAGCCAAATAATAAAATGTGATTAAAGACCTGTAGTGGAGGAGTAGTATAAAATTAATCAAACCCAGTGTGAAAACCACCTGAATGAGTTTCAAAACAGGGTCTGGTAAACTAATAGAACAGCTCTTTGACAATACCAGAAAACAGAAGCCAAAGCAGGAAGTTGTGGCTCAGAATATACAGTCCAGGGTGCAGGGCTACTGTACTCTTAAAAACAAAATAGCAAAACAATTCAAAAGGCTCACTTTTCTTGGCACGGTCATGATGATAGGTTCACACTTTCTCTCGTGCAGTTTGTAAAACCTGAGAACACACACAAGCACACAAGTCTATTAGAACATTTCAGGAGGGCAGCAGACGTTAGTGCAGGACTCATTTGGGAAGTCAAAACATAACAGGGTGTGAGATGGGGAAAATACCAGCATAAGGTGTGAGACGGGGAAAATACCAACATACAAAAATAACACACCAAGCAATTATGCATGAGCCTTAGATGCCCATAAAATGGAACCCTCTATTCATGCATCAGTCCTCGTTTATAAATCTTATTCTGAAGGATCCAGTAGCCCTTTGTTAAACATGTCTAGTGCTGCCCTCTTTTGGGTGGACTGGGATTCTATTCCCTGCATGCACTGGTGTAGACATATAGCACTACAAACTATATATTAAAAATCTCAGCAGTTTATGAAAAACTAGCAAAACCTAGACTAAATTAACTACATTAAATATAAACAATCAAAAAAGGATGGGGGAAAAAAAACTTGCAAAGAAACATCTGGGTATATACACAGTGGTGTGAAAAGTTAATATGCAATGTGTGTGTGTGTATGCATGTGTGCGTATATATATATATATATATATATATATATATACCCCCCCCCATTTACCCCTCTATTTATCATCATAATTTTTATAGTAAAGAAAACCATCCCGTCTAGTTACAATTATTTATTACTTTTTTATCATTTATTTATTTTATTTAAATCCGTATATAAGTAAAACACATACAATGTGGATATATTACATGGTCTTAAAAATAGGATAAAATAAAAATAAACCATTTATTTTTGGGGTGAAATATGACCTGGTCATATTCCTGACATGTTGCATGAGATTCTACCACGTACTACCATCAGCTAAATGATTATTGTTGCTATACCTTGCGATCTCACACTTGTTGACATCCAGTCCTCTCTTGGGCATGTATCCCATGCCCCTCTGAGGCTCCTTGGTGGTAAAGGTGCTGAGGTAATGGACAAAAGGAGCTTCATCTGTGATCTCAAAGTAACGGATGCTGCTGTCACCCTATTAGAGACAAAACATCAGTCAGACACTAAAACCCTACCATCGTACCACTTGCAATAAATAAACAGAATGCAACATAATAAATACTAAATATCCAGGTGTACATTACCGTTCAAAAGTTTGAGGTCAGTAAGATATTTTAATAAGCTCACCTTGCATTTATTTGACCAAAAATGCTGTAAAAACAGTAACACTGTAAAATACTGTTACAATTTCATTTTTTTCTATTTTAAAGGGGTGGTTCACAGTTTTTTTCTAGGCTTGATTGTGTTTATGGGGTGCAGTCTAACATGTGTTAATGCTTTGTTTAAAAAATAAAAAACGCATTATTTTTCACATAATTTACTTTTATTCCACACTGCTCTGTCCCTTCTCTGAGAAACGCGCTGATCATTTCCTGCTTTTATGAAGCCCCGCCCTCAGAAATAGGCGATGGGCTCTGATTGGTTAGCTAGCACAGTGTGTTGTGATTGGCTAAACCGCCTCTAGTGCGCGTCTAAACGATGCGAGGAACAGTATTAAGACTGCTGCTTTAGAACATTGATTTTGAAACTTGTGAATCCATTAGAATCGTTAGAAGACAGAATCGCGATTCATATATGAATAGATAATTACGTGCACCCCTAGTTTTCTCTTCCTCTTCTCTAAAGCAGCGCAGCATGGCCTCGCCCCCTTTGCTGCCTTTTCCCGAGGGCGGGGTTTATCTGGGTTTGTGATGTCACGAACCCGGGAAGTAACTCGTTGTAGTCCCTACCAGCCGTTTTTGTAAGCATTAAACTTTTAAAAGACGACTTTTAAATTGAACTTTCAGCTTCGTAACTTTGCAGATATTGTTTATGCTCAAACAGCAACATTACACACTAACTAACGTTAAAAAA